CCACCTCAGCTTCCTAGAGTGCTAGGATTACAGGTGTGAGCCACCATGTCTGGTCAAAATTTTGTATTTCTAATTTTCCTTGGCTTACATACGGATATACAGAAGAATTTTGTAGTTTGAACCAATATTCTACCACAAGAAGCCACTTACTGGTTTAGTAGCTTCTTTGTGGATAACTTTAGGTTTTATCTGTGCTCAATTATGTCATCTGTGAATAAAACATGCTTACTGCCTCCTCTCTGATCTGAGTAGCTTTTATTTCTGTCTGTTTTTACTGTCCTGAGAAGGAGAACAACACATTCCATAGAAATGGCAAGAGCAGCCATTCCTGCCTTGTTTCCAGTCCTGGGGGAGAAAGTTCTCAGACTTTAAGAATCAAAGCGGGATTATTACAGATACTACTATTGCACTGTAGATGTGCCCTTTTATTTCCAGATTGCTAGTAATTTTAATCACAAATTATTATTAAATTTTTCAAATGATTTTACGTATGGTTTTCCTCCTTTGCCCTATTAAAGGAATAAAATACATAATTTGATATATTTTTTTTTGAGACAGAGCCTCACTATGTTCCCCTTGTTAGAGTGCCCTGGAGTCACAGCTCACAGCAACCTCAAACTCTTGGGCCTAAGCAATTCTCTTGCTTCAGCCTCCCAAGTAGCTGGGACTACAGGTATCTGCCACAATGCCCGGCTATTTTTAGGTTGCAGTTGTCATTATTGTTTAGCAAGCCCAGGCCAGGCTCAAACCCGCCAACCTCTGAGTATGTGACTGGCACCCTACTCACTGAGCTATGGTGCTCTGTCCCATAATTTGATTTTTTATGAAATTTAATTGTGGAAAAACACATAATATGAAATTTCTACCCAATTTTTAGCACACAGTTCAGTTCAGTAGTGTTAAGTATATTCAGAATGCAGTGCAGCAGGTCCCAGAGGTTTCTATCTTGCACAACCAAAACTCTACACCCATCAACTACAGCTGCCTCTGTCTTCCCCATCCCCTACTTCCTGGTCTCCACCATTCTACTTCCTGTTTTAAGGACATTGAATACTGTAGATGCCTCAAATAAGAGGAATC